GGGGTTGGAGTGGAGTTGGAGTGGAGTGGAGTTGGAGCTGGAGTGGAGTTGGAGTGGAGTTGGGGGTGCAGTTGGAGTTGGAGTGGAGTTGGAGTGGAGTTGGAGTGGAGTTGGAGTTGGAGCGGAGTTGGAGTGGAGTTGTAATGGAGTTGGAGTGGAGTTGTAATGGAGTTGGAGTGGGGTTGGAGTGAGTTGGAGTGTTGGAGTGGAGTTGGAGTGGAGTTTGAGTGGATCGGGCCAAAAAGCCAGAAAGGGGCCACCAAACGCATGAGTGGCCCCCCACTCCCGCCCCACACTTGCCCCAACACCTCTCGGCGGGGGGGGGAGTGTTTTGGGGGGAGGTTGGGCTTGGGGAAGGGTGTTTGGGCTTGCAAGGTGTTTTGGGAGGTTTGGGCCCAAACCCCCCCCAACCCCCCCCCCCCCCCCCCTCCCCCCACCCCCCCCCAACCCCCCCCCCCCCCCCCCCCCCCAACCCCCCAAACCCCGCCCCCAAACCCCCGAACCTCCCCCCCAAAACCTCCGCGCTGATCCGCGCTGATCCGTGCTGATCCGCGCTGATCCGTGCTGTTCCGCGCTGATCCGCGCTGATTCGCGCCGATCGATCCGTGCTGATCCGCGCTGATCTGCGCTGATCCGGGCTGATCCGTCTGATCTGTGCTGATCCGCGCTGTTCCGCGCTGATCCGCGCTGATCCGCGCTGTTCCGCGCCGATCCACGCCGATCGATCCATGCTGATCCGCGGCTCCGCGCTGTTCCGCGCTGTTCCGCGCTGTTCCGCGCTGTTCCGCGCTGATCCGCGCTGTTCCGCGCTGTTCCGCGCTGTTCCGCGCTGTTCCGCGCTGTTCTGCGCTGTTCCGCGCTGTTCCGCGCTGTTCCGCGCTCTTCCGCGCTCTTCCGCGCTCTTCCGCCCTCTTCCGCGCTCTTCCGCCCTCTTCCGCGCTCTTCCGCGCTGTTCCGCGCTGTTCCCTTCCGCACTCTTCCGCGCTCTTCCGCGGCTCTTCCGCGCTGTTCCCCGCTGTTCCGCGCTGTTCCGCGCTGTTCCGCGCTGTTCCGCGCTCTTCCGCGCTGTTCCGCGCTCTTCCGCGCTGTTCCGCGCTGTTCCGCGCTCTTCCGCGCTCTTCCGTGCTCTTCCGCGCTCTCCCGCGCTCTCCCGCGCTCTCCCGCGCTCTCCCGCGCTCTCCCGCGCTCTCCCGCGCTCTTCCGCGATCTTTCGCGCTCTTTCGCGCTCTTCCGCTCTCTTCCGCGCTCTTCCGCGCTCTTCCGCGCTCTTCCGCGCTTTTCCGCACTGTTCCACGCTGTTCCGCGCTGTTCCGCGCTGTTCCGCGCTGTTCCGTGCTGTTCCGCGCTGTTCCGCGCTGCTCCGCGCTGCTCCGCGCTGCTCCGCGCTGTTCCGCGCTGTTCGGGGACCGGGGAGGGGGTATAGGCGGAGGGGGGGGGCGGAGGGGGCGGGGAGGCGGGGGGAGGGAGGGGGGAAGGCGGGGAGGGTGGGTGGGCGGGGGGGGGGAAGGGGAGGAGGGGAGGGGGCGGTTGGGGGGGAAGGAATCCAGAGATCCAGAGATCCAGATCTAAGTAAGTCCAGCGCAGAACAGCGCGGAACAGCGCGGAACAGCGCGGAACAGCGCGGAACAGCGCGGAACAGCGCGGAACAGTGCGGAAGAGCGCGGAAGAGCGCGGAAGAGCGCGGAAGAGCGCGGAAGAGCGCGGAAGAGCGCGGAAGAGCGCGGAAGAGCGCGGAAGAGCGCGGAAGAGCGCGGGAGAGCGCGGGAGAGCGCGGGAGAGCGCGGGAGAGCGCGGAGAGCGCGAAAGAGCGCGGAAGAGCGCGGAAGAGCGCGGAACAGCGCGGAACAGCGCGAAACAGCGCGGAACAGCGCGGAACAGCGCGGAACAGCGCGGAACAGCGGGGAAGAGCGCGGAAGAGCGCGGAAGAGCGCGGAAGAGCGCGGAAGGGAACAGCGCGGAAGAGCGCGGAAGAGGGCGGAACAGCGCGGAACAGCGCGGAACAGCGCGGAGCAGCGCGGAGCAGCGCGGAACAGCGCGGAACAGCGCGGAACAGCGCGGAACAGCGCGGAACAGCGCGCGGAACAGCGTGGATCGGCGCGGAGCAGCGCGGATCAGCGCGGAACAGCGCGGATCAGGAACAGCGCGGATCAGCACAGATCAGCAGGGATCAGCCCGGATCAGCGCGGATCGATCAGCGCGGAAGCGCGGATCAGCGCGGAACAGCGCGGATCGATCGGCGCGGATCAGCGCGGATCAGCACGGAGCAGCGCGGAACATCGGCGCGGATCAGCGCAGAACAGCGCGGATCAGCGCGCGCGGAACAGCACCGATCAGCTCGGATCCGGATCGGGCGGGGGGGTTTGGGGGGCGCTTGCGGGGGTTGTGGGGTGTTGGTTTGGGGGGTGTTGGGGGTTTGGGGGTTTCGGGGTTTGGGGGTTTGGGGGAGGGATGTGAGGATATGAGGATGTGGGCGAGGGCGGGGGTTCCCCCCACCCCCCCCGTCTTCCTCCCCCCTCCCACCTCTTGTTATTCCTCAACCCCACTTCAACTCCACCCCAACTCCGTTGCAACTCAACTCCAACTCCACTCAAACTCCACTCCAACACTCCAACTCCACCCCAACTCCACTCCAACACTCCAACTCCACTCCAACCCTCCTCCAACTCCACTCCAACTCCACTCCAACTCCATTACAAGTCCACTCCGACTCCACTCAAACTCCACTCCAACTTGACTCCACCCCAACTTCACCCGAACTCCACTCCGACCCCACTCCAACTCCACCCCAACTCCACTCCAACACTCCAACTCCACTCCAACTTCACTCCCTCTCCATTACAACTCCACTCCGACTTCACTCAAACTCCACTCCAACTCCACCCCAACTCCACTCCAACACTCCAACTCCACTCCAACCCTCCTCCAACTCCACTCCAACTCCAACCCAACTCCACTCCAACTCCACTCCAACTCCACTCAACTCCACCCCAACGCCATTACAACCTTACCCCGAATCCACTCAAACTCCACTCCTATACTCCAACTCCACTCAACTCCAACTCCACTCCAACTCCATTACAACTCCACTCCGACTCCACTCCAACTCCACTCCACTCCAACCCCACTCCAACTCCACTCCACGCCAACTCAGCTTCAACTCCACTCCAACTCCACTCCAAACTCCACTCCAACTCCACTTCAACTCCACTCCACTTCATTGCAACTCCACTCCAACTCCACGCCAACTCCACTCCAACTCCACTCCGACTCCACTCAAACTCCACTCCAACTTCACTCCAACCCCACTCCAACTCCACCCCAACTCCACTCCAACACTCCAACTCCACTCCAACTCCAACCCAACTCCACTCCAACTCCACTCCAACTCCACTCAACTCCACTCCAACGCCATTACAACCTCACCCCGACTCCAGTCAAAAACTCCACTCCAACTCCAACCCCACTCAACTCCAACTCCACTCCAACTCCATTACAACTCCACTCCGACTCCACTCCAACTCCACTCCACTGCAACCCCACTCCAACTCCACTCCACGCCAACTCAACTTCAACTCCACTCCAACTCCACTCCAAACTCCACTCCAGCTCCACTTCAACTCCACTTCAACTCCACTCCACTCCATTACAACTCCACTCCAACTCCGCTCCAACTCCAACTCCACTCCAACTGCAATTCCACTCCAACTCCAACTCCACCCCCAACTCCACTCCAACTCCACTCCAACTCCACGCCAACTCCACTCCAACTCCACGCCAACTCCACTCCAACCCCACTCCACTCCAACTCCACGCCAACGCCACTCCAACTCCACTCCATCTCCACTCCAACTCCACTCCAACTCCATTACAACTCCACTCCAACCCCACCCCAACTCCAACTCCACTCCAACTCCAACTCCTAGCCGCAACTGTTTGCCACCCAACGGAATAGCCGCAATTTCCTGCCACCCCTTTTGGCCGGCCAAAACGGGGGTAGCGCAATTTTCTGCCAATCTTTTTTGCCGGCCAAAACGGGGGTAGCGCAATTTTCTGCCACCCCTTTTGCCGGCCAAAACGGGGGTAGCGGAAATTTCTGCCACCCCTTTTTGCCGGCCAAAAGGGGGTAGCGGAAATTTCTGCCACCCCTTTTTTGCCGGCCAAAACGGAGGTAGCGCAAATTTCTGCCACCCCTTTTTGCCGGCCAAAAGGGGGTAGCGGAATTTTCTGCCACCCCTTTTTGCCGGCCAAAACGGGGGTAGTGCAATTTTCTGCCACCCCTTTTGGCCGGCCAAAAGGGGGTAGCGCAATTTTCTGCCACCCCTTTTTGCCGGCCAAAACGGGGGTAGCGCAATTTTCTGCCACCCCTTTTGGCCGGCCAAAAGGGGGTAGCGGAAATTTCTGCCACCCCTTTTGGCCGGCCAAAATGGGGTAGCGCAATTTTCTGCCACCCCTTTTTGCCGGCCAAAACGGGGGTAGCGCAATTTTCTGCCACCCCTTTTGGCCGGCCAAAAGGGGGTAGCGGAAATTTCTGCCACCCCTTTTTGCCGGCCAAAAGGGGGTAGCGGAAATTTCTGCCACCCCTTTTTGCCGGCCAAAAGGGGGTAGCGGAAATTTCTGCCACACCTTTTTGCCGGCCAAAACAAGACCGCAATTTTCGGCCACGCTTCGTGCCACCCCTTTGCGCCACCCCTTTTGGCACGGCAAAAACCTCTTACTATAAGCATTACTGGGGGCACTCAATGTATATGTATGTTTTGACAAGAAATGCTGGCGTCACCTTTGTATCTAAAGCTGCCAGAGAAAAAAAGGAAACTCCGGCTTCCCTTCAACCAGTCTGCATTCCTTTCGAGCTGACAACACGTGCAAACAATCCCAGTTCGTCACATCCGGAAAAAGTAGGCGGTGAAGTGCCAGGACACAACAGGGAGCCGACTCTTGCTTAGCCGTTTTTCTTGGTAAGGACAACCAAAGGGCGAGGTTCTTCGGGCCAGTTTTTGCGCCTCGAAGGGGCCGTAGCTGTACCGGCACTCGCAGCCGGGCTTCACCAGCCAAGCGGTCCTGGATTGGTTGAAGCCCCTTCAGCTCTGAGCCTCCCGTTGGCTGGCAGCATTGAGACTCACCTACTCACCTCACCGTGGCTGTGAGTGAATGACTGTGAGACTCACTGATTGTGAGTGTGAGTGTGAGTGAGAGCGGGTGAGGTCACGTGCACGCCACTCTGTTCCACACAATCCCACACCCCTCCACCCCCAACCCGCCCACATGCACACACCCACACCCACTGCCATGCGCACAGACACAGCACAAACGCGAGCAGGCACGCAGGCACACACGCAAGCAGGCAGGCACGCACGCATGGACAGACAAACGGTGGACAAACCGAAGAGGAACAAACCACCTACCCCCTCAAAGCCTTAAAACATCCCAAAGAATCTTTTGGTGGGCATCTACATCCCCAAATGCAGAAACTTGTTCCATCGCAGCCAAGAGGCTTTCGAGGCATCAGGCCCTGCCAGTGGAGGACTGATGGCTAATCCTGATGTTAACTTACATCTATATATATTTATTTATATATACATGTATATGCTGCTACAAACAGAAACCGTGAGAATTGGACTCCCAAGCCTCATGCCCAGCAAGAGGACTTAAGACTCGCACAAAATGATGGATCTTGCAAGAATCACACGAATATAGGATCTCACCCTGTGGTTGTGGCAAATGCCTAACATTGGAAAACACCCTGCAGCTTTCTTGGGTCATAAGATTAAAACAACACGAATTAGTTGACCACATGTACAGCACTGCACATGACCTAAGAAAGGTAATTGCATTCAGCAGCCCTTGAAAAACAAAAAAACTATCCTGCTTTGGACCTTTCTTGGTTGCATGGTCTGGTCATTTGGCAGCAATGGCAAGCGAACTATTGGAGCGAAACACTAAATGTGGGCAGCCTAGGAACATTGAGGACATTAGCAATTTGAAAGGAAAAAACCAACCAAGGTTTTAGGCCTTATATGAGCGCACTTTCTGCAAAAACACAAACATTTCGAGGGTAGGCCACTGGAGGTTGCAATGGGCTTTGCAAGGTGCTGGCCACTTCCAAAAACAAAGTGTTTTTGGAATACTTCGCCCAACACTCTGCAATTAAACCTCCAGAACATCAGTCGTCGGCGTTTTGCACATGTCAATGTGCACAATCCGGCCTTGTCGCCTTCAGGCTGCAGCCACTCCACGCTGTCGCGGATCATAGCGAAGAACCTGATGAAACCGTGAAAGCCCTACCGAAAGCTATGTATATATATATACACATGATATTATCCACATGTTGTCTATTCTTGTGGCCTCTGTTCAACACACGCAAGGCTCCCCCATGCTTGCCGCCAAACAACATCACAAAAAACTGGCGCGCGCAAGTGTGCCGTACTTGCTGCTTAGGTGCTTGTTTTACTTGTTTACTCCCGTGGTAAGCATAAACATGGTCGCGCCGGCGGCATTTTTGTGAAGCTCATCATGTATCATGGGGTTTGCATATTTGCCACGCATCGATCCAGGAAAACCAGCGAAAGAGTCAACCACGTGGAAAATGGGACCTTGTGCCTGCCAAGGTGCATGTTGCACTGTGCCAGAGGCCAAGGGCTTGGAAGATATCCTGCATATGATCCTCAGCCGTCCGTCTTTCCAGCTGAAATCAGCTCAGCTGCTGATCTCTCACGCCATTGCAGGTCCCAGTTCACAACAGCCCTCTGCTTGATCCGCTTGCTTGGGGGGACACAAGCACTGCACCATATTTGTCCAAGCGTCGGCGAGAGTCATCCCACAAAGGGTACTGCCAGTTGAAGATCTTGGCCCTGTCCTGAAGGGAATCCCGTGGCCTAGCCCCCGCCTGGTTGAAACCCTTTTGACTTCTGCCCCTTTGCTCTTTTGCCTTGCCCTTTCTACCCCCGGCTGACCCTCAATCTGCCCTCACGAAATCGGAGGCCGCGAGTCCATGACGACAACACATCGCTGAAACGAGTTCACCTTGAAGGCGCCAAACGGTCCCTGTCCGATGCACCTGCCAAAGCTCAAGGGAGGGGGGCATGAGTTGTATGGCCAACATGGAGGAGCTGCGTAACAGTGCTTACATACATACAAACATATGTTGCGACTGTCAAGTATCAGGAAGTGCGTTGAACCTTTCGAAGGCAAAGGAGACAAACAAATAGATGGCAACCCTCTCCTCATGCCACAACTTCTGGCGGTTACTTTGTCACCGTGCCACCTTTGATGCCAGTTGAATCACAACAGGCATGCAGAATGAAGGCAGGGTTTGTCTTTATCGCCAATTCTGCTTCTGGTCCCTTGCATGCCTTCAAGAAGTCCACATATAAAACCGCAGGGAGGTTCAAGAGCATGACCTCCCAAGACCACTGGCCGAGAGCCTGGAAATGGATCAAACTACAGTGCCAAGGCAAGAGATGTAGGGTACAAACGATTCGCACCCTGCCATAGTTACCGCATGATGTTTCAGCGTGATGCGCTGGCAGAGCGCTGGCTCCAGCTTTCTCCTGGGAATCAGAAAGTAGAAACCAGCTTCCTGGCGGGCAAATCTTGCAGTTCTTCACACTTGGCGTCTAAGTTTACACATGTACAATGTCACCAGTTTTTCACAACTTGAGAAACATGAGGATCACTGTTTCAATGAAGGCTCCGTATCTGAAGAGCAGGGTCCACAAACAACACCCCTCACTATTGCTCACTTTGGATTGCCCTCAACCTGCTGTCATATAACTCAATTACACACTGCTGGTTACAAAAGGGGGAACGATCCCACGTCTTTGCAGCTTGAAAATGAGTTTGATTGACTTCACAAGGCGAACTTCCTGCGAACCTCTCGGCTTTCCTTTGGGCAAAGGTGCCAAAGGTACGGCCCCGACTCCGGGACTCGAGGAAAAGCCTGCCCCGTCCTTCACCAGCGCCAGTCCAACTTGCTCTTTGGGCTGCTCCCACCAGTCGCCGTGGAGCTTCTGCGGCGGCTCCCTGTTGCTTCCTGGGATCGAGCTGCGAGCTGCTCGGAGGTTTTGTCTGCGGCTGGACCAAGCAAGGTGCTGGCCAAAATCCGGCCATGAAAATGCGGAGAGGCTGCTAACATCTCCGAAGTTTATAACATGTTCCTTCGAGGAGCCTAATTAAACTAATCCCGGCAAGTGTTGCCTGTGTAAGGCGCGCCCGCCGCAGAAATTGCTAGCTGCTGACCGAGCAGACTTTGTGGCGGTTCGACAGGTAATTACAGCTCACATGCACAACAAACACAAAAAGGTCAACAAGTCATGAAGCATCGCTCAACACTAAAACTGGTACTGAACGGCTGCACGCTTAGCTTATAATGCATCTGGAGTGGCTGTGTCTCTTGTCTTTCTTTTCCGTCTTCTCCTTCTTCTCCTTCACGCATGCAAGGATTGCTTGGTCGCAGGCGGACATGCTCAGTATTGTACATGCCCGTCTCAGCCACCGTCCTTCTTCTCCTTCTTCCACATTCTATCGTCCCACTCCTTGCAAGGCAAGGTCAAGTGATGAGTATCCAAGGAACATGTTCGATTCTACCTCAGGCTGTCGGATGTAAACAAGACTTGCTCGCGGTCAGCCTCGGTTGCCACCATTGCATATGCCGGGCCTGAGGGAACTGGGCCTGAGAGAACTGGTCGACTGGCCAGGAGCCAGCTTGGCCCCAGTCGTCCTGCACCGGCTGCAAACAATGATTTGCAGTCCTAGTCACAAGTCCTGAGCAACAGCCTTGCAATGGACCTTATGATGCACCTCTCACATCGACCTCCAACCAGAGCGTTGGTGCTGCGTGTGCTCTGTTGAATGGCCATGGGTCAAAATCCCGTACCCCCAGTGAACATCCCAATCCCCACTAAAATAGACTAAAATGGGTGGTGCACCTACCCGAAAATGGACCATTGGTGTTGACCCACAGCTAAACAGCTCTTTCGGACCCTGGCAGCTCCTGTCTCTGCTTCTTCCAGGCCGGACCATCGTCCCAATCCTGGGCATGGAGCAGCCTCTCCCGGCCAAAGGGAAGCAGTCGGAGGGTGCGACCAGTTTGCTGGAAGCTGCCCCGTCCAAACCAATTATTTTATTCACAAAGATCAACCTTTTGAGAAGATCAACCTTTTGAGACGGTCAAGCTTGGTCCGAAGCCAACAAGGATCCCAGGACATGCCGGGCGCTTCAAACCGACGACAAAGAACCGTCAATTGGGCCCACTGTTCATTGCACAACTTGAACAGAAGGCCTCTTCAGTCCTTTTGTTGCTGCAGGGGCAAGTTGCCGGACAGTCCTGCCTACTGAATGGACCAAACCGCTTCTGCAACCACCTTTTCAAACGGCAAATCAAGCATCGCAGGACTGAACCGATTGCAAGATGGTCTGTCTGTTTGCCTTTTCGACTCCGTTTTCCTGACACAACTTTCTCGTCAACAAGTCTGATTACAGCCTCCCGTGATCTTGAACAATGAGCCAATATTTCAAGGCTGCAGGATGAATTGAACAACAAAATACATGAACTACCCATTGGCCATGTTCAACCAAAGCGAACCGTCTTGTGACATAGATGGCTGGTGAGATGCTAGCCGACGGCTGACCCAATGCATTCCAAAAGGCCCGCTCGCGCTTCTGCCCCGCTTCTGACTGCCAGGAGTTCCAACCATCCTGCAAGGGGATATCGGGCCTTGGACTTATGGACTCTGTGGCACGCGCACACCTGCACAAAGCCGTCGAGAACGTGACCAGCAATAGGCAGCTACTTTCAATCCCAAGGAGAAAGGATTCTTTACAACCAATCAGGTCAGCATGCAATCTTCACTCAAAACCCGCCTGCTGCTGGGCCTGTTGGTCCTTCCAACTACCTGAGCTGGGTAGGCTGGTAGGCGAAAACTTGCAAGGCCAACTCATTGAAAGGATGGCAAGTCTAAATGGATGCTAGCGCCAAGCGCAACTGAGACCGTCAATAGCGCAAGAAAAACCTGATTAATTAGTCTAATTCGCGGCACTTGTGCTTGCATCAGAGCGTTCGGTTCTGTGTTTGTGCGTGTGCGTGTGTGTTGTGCCAGTGCGCGTGTTTTTACGTTGTTGGCAAAGGGTTCACTGATCCCCATTGCCTTCCGCAAGTTTTGGCTGGCCTGCGCTTCAGGCCATTTGGGGACTGGGCACTCCTGAGCTGGGACAAGAGAAGCTCATGGATTTGCCTCGTGGATCTGCCGAGATGCCGTCTTGGGAGCCGAACTTCTGCCAGGAGTCCTTGGAGCTTTCAGGGAAGCGCAGCTTGAGAAAAAAACAACTTCCACGTGACTGAACGAATGGTAGTCAGACCTTCGCTATCAAACCGCCAAACCAACTTTGCAGATAGGGCCTTCGGCGCCGGCAGGTTTCAACAAATGGGCGGGCTTGGCAAGTTGATGCTTCTACAAAACTCTCAACTACATTTTTTTGAATTGGCCGCAAGGCTCTGTTGAACACGCATGAAGATTGGCGCTGAAGGTTCCAAGTTGACACTCTCCTTTTTAAAAAGTCAGTCACTGCGCCACTGCTTCAAACGACACCCTGTTGCACCATGCAAACAATACGCTTTTCAAGGAACTATGCCCCACCGCAAGCACATGTAGACAAGCTGCACCGGCGCTCCAGGAGTTTGACCTGCGAAGGCAACCCTTCCGGGCCCTCACGGTTCCAATTGGACTGAGGGGCCGTTCATGATTTCTTTTACAAAGGTACTCGGCCTCGTACTTCCAAAATGAGTCTCCAGGCAAGGAGGCTGATCGAATGGTTCATTGGAGGTTCCTTTAAGGAATGCTGTCGGGGAGGAATGGCCTCTATTCCTCTGTCTTCCGGAAAAGGAGTGAGGTTCAACTAACAGACACATCCAACTGAAGCTGACGCACATCCAACTCAACCTCCCGCCTTTCCACATCCGACCACCAGCCGCTGGCACTGCTCCTTAAGCTCTGGCAAAGGGCTCAAGCTGCTGCACACTGGATTCGATATACAGCAGTTTGCTGTCCCTCATGGTTTGAGTGTGCCCAACGTGTGCCGCTTTACAGTAGATGCTGCTGGGCATCTCAGCAATTGAGAAAGCCTTCCAAAGTCTTTGGAACTGCTGCTATATCTTTCGTTTTCGCGTTAATCAGCAAAAGCTGATCGTAAACCACAATTTGACTGCAGATCTACTTACGGAGCTCTGCCGATCTGTTCTTCTTGGCATTCCGGAGCACCATGTAGCTTCTGCTGGCAGCGCTTGGGACCCCTGGCGGCGTCTATGCCTTGCTGAAACACATGGCCAATGGGCAAGTACAAAGAGCAAAGAAGAGCAGCCGATTTCGAAACACATCCGAAACCGTTGAGGGGAAACCTGTGACCGTGAATGGTGTTGAAGTACCCGCCAGTTTACCCAGGAAGCGTCATGAACCATTCTGATTGGTTGGCAAACTGTTCTGCAAGTGTTGTAGTCCTAGTCCATCACGCACTCCATGGTCCCACGCGCGGGAACTGTCAGAGTTGCTTCAAACCAAGGCTGCAAGAACTGCAGTTTGTTGCCCTGACTGCCAACCAACACGTCAGGTGTGAAGTTGGCCGAGGTCACAGGGACCAAGGGCCAAAACCTGTCGATTCTCAACTACGTGCCGTGCTAGTGCATAACATGCCGATTGGAGGGTTCATGGCCACCAGTACTGGTCAACCTTAATCTTAATGAGATTTGACCACCAACTGGTGGCAAAGAAGGGTGCGGCCAAAGCGTCACTTGGACCTGCTGGCGGTCAAGCACTACCTCTCTCTCTCTACCTCCCTCCCATGTTCAAGCTGGGGCTCTTGTCATAGCCATTCCAGCTAGCTGTCCTGGAAGCTACTCAGTCCGGCTTGCAAGGAGCAAGTCGTTTCTACATGACAAGCTTGTGGTGAGACTCAGATTGAGAGGTATGAGCCGCCTCATCTGCAGAAACATGTAGAAACTCATTGGGACCAACTTGCCTGTTCCAAGCTGGCCTTGCAGCACCATGGCATAAGAACTGGAATGGCAGGTGGCGTTCTGGGCACCAAACCTTCCTAACACCTTGGCCGTGGCCAAGAACGGGCCAAACATTCAGCAATGCAGCTCGCCAATGCCTCAGCACCAGCGGCTTAGGCGCAAGGGTTTTTTTGCGGCGACGGCCCTCCCTCCCCGCAACATGAAACTGCCAATGGACCTGTGCATGAGTGGACCTCTTCTCGGGGTTCCATGCCCGTCCTGGTAAGGTCTCCTGCCCCTCCTTCTCCTGCCAAAGCGTGCGATTGGCTGAGCAGTTCCGCCAGGAGATAGACAATCACTGGCACCCAGATACTTGGCGATGGCTCTGGGCAGAAACCGTTTCCATTCAAGTGCTTGACAGGCGCATGTTTAACATTCAAGATCATTCAAAATGGAGGCAATCGAGGACGGACTGCGCCAACTGTTCATTTCAAGGCTGGATTAGGAAGGTGCGAAGCAAAGGCCCCATGTGGGGACAACTCACCAAAACCCAAAGTTTACCTGAGCACAAGGAACCAATCGCCCATTGAGGGACCTTCATTCGCTGCGAGTTTGTGCAGGCGCACTGGCAATCATTACTTGCTGCAGCTTGTCTCGCCTCACCACCCAAGGTGCCACAAAGGTACCTATCACAATTGCAGCCCGTCGGAGCAGATTCCTAATGTTTACCTTTAGAAGAGCATCCGTTGAGTGAGGTGATCTTAGTGGACCTTCCCAGGCTCTAGCCTCCTGCGAGCATGACATGGCCATGTATGAAAATTAGGCTATCCTCCAAAATCGTTGGTATCTTGCGTTCCTTTGAAACGCCCAAACCGGTTCTCTATTTGGATATGTCCTTCTGAGGGTGCGCGACCGCCCCCCATTCTGGCACTCCCAGTTTCTCCTTCCGGCGGCGGCGGAGGAGCCTCATGGCGAGGAAGTGATGGGGTTGAACACGGGAATCCAAATATGGCTGGTCAAAAATACGGCAACCCCAAAATGGCTTGCCCTGGAAAATGGAAACATGGAAAACCTGCGGTCCATATCCTAGTGGTTTAATTTTGACCCACACCCATATGTTTTTGTATGTTGCTTTTCAAGGGTATCCGTTTGAGGAAGCCAAAAAGGAACCGCTCATTATGGAGGTTCCCCTCGATTTGGAGACAAACTGATATCTTTCAACGTCGCAGTGCCCAATCCACAAGAACCGCACTTTTTGTTTTGGCATGTATCCAAGCTGGCCAGACAAAGGAATGTTTACACTGCGGAGAAGTGAACTTGGTTTGGAAGTTTGGGCAAGGAATCAAATGTATAGGCCAGAAACAAACTGAGTGTCTGATGGATAAACTGACAAGAGTCGCTTCCATTAGCGGCCCCGCTGTTCTTGAGTGCTTTCAGACTCGGGAGAGTCGGCCAGCCGATTCAGCACTTCTGAGGTGTTCAAAAGTCCCGCGTGTACAAGAAGGCCCCTCTGCAAGCAGTGGGATTTGTCTTGTGGTTTCAGACGCATGGAGCAAATGCCGCGCTGCGAATGGCATGAGCAAAAGCAAGCTCAAGACGAGGATACAACTTGGAAAGCCTGCACCACGGGAAAACGGCATGATGTCATAAGTCCCGAACCACATTCGATACCTGACAAAACAAGTAGGCGGACACCACCTCTCCCAAAATCAAGTCTCGCGCCTGGTCTTGTTGGCGCCAATCCTGCCAAAGCAGCCAAAGCAGGTGCCTTTTGATTCTTGTGCTCCAACTAAAATGCTCACTTGCAGCATGCTAAGCAGCACAAAAGCCAACTAGATGCCTGGTGACAAACGCTTGGCTCAGCAGGGATCAAAGTCCGTGCTTTTCGGCCATCCTCGCGTCGCAAGACCCCTGTGACATACACCGAGATAGGCACAGTCAGACAGTTCCTCCCCGAAAATCCAACTTGTCAAGTATCTCGACGTTTCCGCTCCTGCTTCGCCCCGATTGGAACTTCCACGCCTTCCTGGCCTGAGCGGAAACGCCGAATCTCCAAGTCGAAAAGCGGAGCCCAACTGAAAAGTGGTCCAAGCAAAATGGCAATGCTCCAATCTGACAAGGCTTACAGCAGGGCCTACAAAATGAGTTTGGGTATCCTGAGGAAACTACATGGGCCATTGACATGGCCCCCTAATTTCCCTTCCTTTTAACCTGTTGCATACCCATTCAATGGTGGGTCTGTATGGCTTTTCCGGGGAAACAAGGTTCAGAAAAGGCGAGGGGCCGCACCAATGGCTCCTGTGGCTTTCAACACGGACAAGTCGTGGGTCCCAGCTTTCCGCCTCGCAATTTGGTGAGTATACCCTCAGTCCCCTTTATTTATCCAGCCGCAAAATCACAGCAAACAAAGACTGTGGCTAATGTGCGGTCTAGCCACGTGGTCGCTGGCTGCGAGATCTGGATTCTCGCCTTCGCTCCGGGTAACGGTCCCGGTCATCTCGACGTTCATCGCGACGTTCATCTCGACGGTCATCTCGACCATGGCGATCATCCCTTCCCCGTTCGTGTCTGCCCTGGTCGCGACTTCGGCGACGGCTGTCTCGTCGGCGTTCACGCTCACCTTCTCCACGGTCCCTCTCGTCTTTGTCATGGTGACCTCTGCCATCCCTGTCTTCAGACTTGTGTCTATCTCCAGAGCGCCCCTCGCGGTCATCGCGTTTTGGCCGGTCTCCATCACGAGCATCGCGGGACTGGCGCGGCAAACAACGCTTTGCCAATTGAAACTCACAACGCTTGCTACACCTGGACCCGATTTACTGCTCCTTCTGAGTAGTACAGGGTGCCCCTCCCACAAGCCCCTAAAACTAAGATTTGTTTGAGAACCCGTAAGCTAATCTGGAGCTCCTTTCGGTCCTCGTCCTCTCACTTCGGGCCCCTGCAAGTCAATTGAACTGGAAACAGAAACCTGGAGAACCTCTTCGGTTCTTGCCTTCTTGGGCCCTTATGGGCAATAGGACTTGAAATGACAAAAGGGCCCTGATTTATCAATCTCGGGTGGTTTTCTGCCCATCGCCTCCAAGGGGGGTCCCTCAACCTTGTTGCTTTAAGCACACTTGAGTAAAACAAACGCAGTTTACAACAAGCACATTTATGAGGACACTTGACGGGATTCATGGTGGCTTAGTATTGGTAGGTTTAAGCACGGACTAAGCAAATACTAAGCAAACAGGAAAGCCACTTTTCTGGCTTGGGGGCTGCCGGGGGGTTACCTGTCATTGGGGGGTGGGGGGAGTTGGAGATTCTTGGGAGGCCCAAAACATAGTGATTGTGCAAGGTTCTTGGGCGGTTCTTGGGCCAACCTTGTTGGCGCTTCACTTTAGGTTTCAGGGAATCTGAGAGGATTCCAGGAAACCTGAAATCACGAGGGGGTTTGCTCATCGTGCACTGATGTAATGTAGCAAAAGCTTCACTGCGTACCTTGAGGCCCTAGTGGAACACCTGCTTGAGATACTGTGACGAATTGAACTTCAGAATTCGCACATTCAGCGAAACACTAAATGACCAGGGGTTTTCACCCTCAGGGATGAACCGCGCAAGGCGGAACAATTGGAAGAGAAGAGTCCTAAGTAGAAAGCCAAGCTCACAGCAACTTGAGCAACTGCGGCCTCGAAGTCACGACGATCTCGCACGTCGCTTCTCTGGTTTGGGCTGCCTAAGCATCTCCAGGCCAGCGGCCAACAAACGACGGATCTAGCTTCTAGCTGTTGCCTCTGGAGAAAGTATCTTTGCTTCAACGCTATGCTCTGCGAACATGGCAGCTGAACAGAACAACAAGCTACCCATAACCCGACCAGACAAATGGCAAACAGGAGGCCAGTCGATGCATTGAATGATTGTGTCAAGGCGGTGCAGCGCAGAAGAAAACAATGGACAACATCAGCTTTGGCGTGTCTGTCCCTTCCAACGGTGCCAATGACGCACGATCATTTCAACATTGGGCAACTGCTATGTCATATGATGATACGCACGCATGCCAGCCATCCCACGGTCAAAGGATGAACATGTTGACACTCACCTTCAAAGCGCTGCAATTCGGGTGACACACTCAGTGTACGTCTATGCTTGTTACCAAGCGGCGGCCCCGCCAGCGAGCATATGGCCTGCGATGATTGGAGGTACTGCGGCCTTAGGCTGAGTGTATCCCTCTCTCTCTCTCTCTATCTTGCTTTCTCGCCCACCCCCTCTGTTTCTCGTTTATTTCTTGTTGACTCTACCCCTCTCCCTCTCTCTCTGCGTCTTGAGTGTATGTCTCTCGGGTTTTGTCTCTCTCTCTCTCTCTCTCTCTCTCTCGCTCTTTCTCTCTCTCTCTCTATCTCTTTCTTTGTCTGTCTCCCCAGCAGCCTAATTTGGCATCGGCGGCACAGTTTGCTTGAGGGGAGCGCTTTCAGCAAATCCCCTCAACAAGCACCATCATCCCAATACTGAATCCGAGTTGCAGCAATCCGTGGCAACAAAGCATCCAAGCTCCTCTCTCCAAGGAGGGAAGCCGGCGGGGCAAGTTGCAGTTGGTACTTCTGTTCAGGACTGACTGCCTATCTTTGTTTGACCCTACAGAATCAATTTGCGCCGTCAGTGGCATCAACTTTGGCTGGTATATAGTGGGTATGAAAAAGCGAGCCCTGGCCTCACCCAGAGAGGAGGGCTTGTGGTGCTGTCCAAGTGACGTTCAAATCGCTTCAGCCTGCGCTTGCAGCAACTGACTGTGATTGGCAAGCCTGTGTAAGTGAATTTAGCTCGACTGGATCCAAAACCCAGTTCCCAGCAGGAACCACAACCCCGAATTTGCTGGATCACAATCAGTGGTTCCGATGCAGTGTCAGAGGGCACCATGCTGACTGGGATTGTGCACCTCGCCTCGAACATGTTGATCCACATTCTGAAGGCTTGTCTGCAAATTGGTCGAACTTCATGCTGGTCGGAATGCGGCAAAACTACTGATACAAACGATGTGCTCATTGTGTGCTATTGTTGCTTCACTTTTCGTTGCTAGGGAAGCAAAAGGTCTCCTCCGTTATCCCCGTCACCCTGTTGTTAGCGACGTGGGTAGGGTGAAGTTCGATGACCAATTCATGGACTGGGCCCACTAGCTGCGTCGCTACCTTTTCTGACTTGGTCCTTTGTTTGACCCAAATTGCTCGCAATGAGTCTTTTGGACAATTGTAGTCTGACTGACTAGCACGGTGCCAGCCTATGGGTCGGGCCCTAGTGACATGGAAGCCAAGGTCGGAATAGGATGGTTCTAAGGGAGAAAATAGCAATCCCTGGCACAACCAGCCATGCCTAGGGAATCAAACTGAGCTAAAAGCAACATTGGCATTTCTGCGACACCTGTCCTATTTTGTTTAATGCTAAATCAGCTACCTTATTCAATTGGCCAGTCAAAAGCCCGTACCACCAGTGAACATCCCAATCCCAACTGAAATAGACTAACATGGGCGGTGTACCCACCCCAATATGGGATCCCATTGGTTTTGACCAGTCAATTCAAAGAATTCAATGATGCTTCCAGAAGAAACTCCTCATCAATCAAGTCGAAGATCCCACTCTTCGGCCCCGGCCTCTCTTCCCTTTCCCTTCCAAGAAAGCGATCCCGCGATGAGTCAGAGCTGCTACCTGTCGTGTGGCTGCTTTGACATGGCAAACAGCGGCAGAAAAAAACAGGTGTCACAGGCGCACGGCAATGAGGAAGGGCGCTCCCCTTCACACCCATGGTGGGTCCCACATGGTTAACTCGGGGAATTGCTTTTACACCAGCTGCGTCATCAGCTCGTCGCATTGTTTGGGACTGGTGTTCCAAAGGCTTTCCGACATCAAGCATAGCCAACTTAGTAAGTGTCACTATGGTCATCCCACTCGGAGACATACAACCATGGCAAGTGGCTTATAACCATGGTTCTTCCCCCCACTTACCACGTACCAGGCCCCTTTAAGTAGCAGATACAGTGGTATGACGCTCCCATGGAATCCCCCTCAAAAACATGGGGTCCATCCAAGGCACTGGAGGAGCTGCTGGAGCTGCTGGAACTCCGAGTTCGCTGGCCTGCGAGGAAGGCATTTTTCTTGGACCCAACAGATCTGGGAACAATCGACATGGATTGCGGTGCGTTGAAAAGACGGGTTGGTTAAAAGTTGGTTAACAAAAAGAAGAAACACGGGGGCTGAATAGGGGGCTGCATATGCTTGATCATTTCAAGATCCGTTTACCTGCAAGGTATGCACGGCTGGGCAAGCGGAAGTGACTCGCAGCCAAGAACACATCGTTTGTCGCCCCTCCCTGGTGTTCTTGCTCTCATGGATATGGTGATTGGGCAGCAAATGAAACAATGACACTCATGCTGATGTGTTGCTGTGGCTGCTGTTAATGCTCACGTTGATGTCGCTGCTGTTGCTGACAATGACGCTGATGGCTCGCTTGCTACCGCAGCTGATGACGATGACAACGACGATAACTACACACAGGCAGGCTTTGATCACACCCTTGCAATTGTCTTCTACAGTGTTCGGGCAGCAACCACCATGTGACAACACTCACCGGCTTCTGCTTTTAAGTCTTTTTGGCATCTCAGCATGCACAGCCACAAAGTGTCAAGAACAGGACATGCCTCCTGGAAGCACCTGGGGGCATATGGAGGAAACAGGGACTTGCACGCAAAGTTGCTAATTTTTGCCAACACCTCGTTGTCATTTTCTAAGACTTGGTCGGGCTTGCGCCTGACTTGTACCTTGCCAACTTGACTGGTCTCGCAGCACACTCTTGACCTTCGAATGTTCAAGCGATCCAGGTTGAACGGTTGGGCCGCATGGCTGTCTTTGAGACATTTTGAGACCCCGAATGGACCAGGCGCGCCTGGTGCGGTGGCAGCCTTTGCAGCCTGGGACGTTGTACGGAAAACAAGAGGTTGCTGACGCTGCTGGAACCAACCCAATTTCATGGGGGCAGCCGCGTGATTGATGAACTTGCGGGGAACAGGCACCGAGGCTAGAAGTCCCGGACTAAAATCATAACTAGTATTTTTGGAAGACATCAGCTTCACTCCGTCCCTTTTGTAGGTATCCCTGCGTCTTTGTCAGCTTAAATTGAATATGGTTCTTAACAGGGCTCCCTATATTTCCCCTCAAAACATCGCCCCCATGAAGGGAAGCTCACCTATGGGCCAAAAAGGTGCTGTGGAAAACCCAAAAACAAAGAAGATGGATAAATGGGGACCCCTGTCAGCCCGTCTTCAGGGAGGTTCCATGGACCTGGCTGGGGCCGCAGCAGGTGCTGGCGCCGCCTTCGCAGCCGCGGGCGCCGCAGGCTTCTCCTCGTCAGAGTCCCCCAGGGAGATGACCTGCGGCGAGTCGGACCTCCGTTGCTCGGAAGGCAACTTTTATGGGCGTCTCAAAAAAAAAGGGAACCTCCAAGGTGGATTATGTGGGTTTCATTTTCTAGTTTTGCTCCCCATGAAAGATGCCATAAAAAGAGTACCCTCAAGAAAAAAAAAAAAACACCCACATGCCAAGTTTGATCCCAGTTTCTAGCTTGGACCTGTTTCACACTCCTCTTTCACAAACAGCTGCTCAAAAGGGAACCCGAATGGCGGCTTGCTGGTTCAAGCGAGAAGCTTCACAACCTCTCAATCCATGCGCTGAACGACTTGGGTGTGTCAGCCTGGGTGCCTACACGCAAACCAGCCTTCAGTATGCAAGTCAACTCTCGGGTCTGAGAACAACTCGTGACTCATTGTGTTTTTAGCGACCCGGCAGCGTGCCATCCGGGAGGAAAACAACTCATCAGCTTGCTTGCAGCAATTTCGCTGAGTGCCAAGCAGATTTGCTTCGCTTCACCCATCCTTGGATTTCACAGACTGCAGCTGCAGGTGGGGGAGGGGGGTGGGGGAAGGAGGTCCGCAGAAAAAGTCCGACGCACATTCGGCTGCCAGAGTTTTCAAACCGTCTCTGACATATCATATTGATATCTGTCAGCTTGAGGTCTATGACGCATCAAGTTGTCCTTACAGATGCTCAAATGCCGAGGTGCCGCAGTTGTTGCACTCATTGCGCTCATCCTTGTTCGGTTCGTCCTGAGAGCCAAGCTGGGCGGAGCCCCAAACGGCACTGCCTGCGAGTTCTTCGCAGCGCGGACATGGTTTATGGGATCATTGAATCACAGAAGCCAGCCTCTTCCACAAACTGTGACCAATTACATGGGTGGCCCTTGCCCATTCCAATGTTCAGAGCGTAGTGCCTGCATGACTAATTTAATAATCAAACGAGGGAAATTTCGCTTTGCCTTGACCGTATTAATTGGTTTGGTTTGACTGATAGATCGATGGAATGTCGACCAAACACAAAACTGCAGTTTTTGTGCACAGCAACAATCTGTGTATTAGCTACCCTCTTGAGTGCAACATGCATGCATGTGTCAAGAGCGGACCAGCTCGCTACAGCTCAATGTTTGAGGAAGTAAGCAACGGTTCCAAGTGCACATTGGTGGATTCGGTTGTCAGCAGTCTTTGGCAAGCGCTTATGCGTGTGCGTCCGCACTTTGATGGCCTAAAAACATGTTTGCCTCCACATAGGTCAAACCGCAGTTCCGCCGGTGTTTTCCTCCTTCTAGTTTGTTTTGGCTCGGCCTACCCGCAAATTAGGGGTTGCTTGCTTTCTTGCACCAATCGAACCAGACATATCCAACATCCCTGATATCACCCCTGCAAGGTGCAGCCAAAGTTCGCATCGAGGACACACCTGCGCACCGAGCAACACACCATGTACTTCCACCCTTCACGCAATCTGTGTATTCCTCATGGTTGTCCCAATCGTCAAACCCTTGCAGTTCTTGAGTGCAATCCTTTGACCTTGGCAAATGGCTCAATCACCACATGCAGTCACGGCACCCACTTCTCCTTCGGCTTTGGTCTAGGCTGCTGGCAGCCTCAGCACATACGTGGACATTGGTTTCTAGAGCTGAACCACAGCAAGCCGTGAGACTTTGGCTCAAACAAGATTGTTCTAAATGCGACAGGAATACCTTGCAGATCTTGCCTCTGGTGGATCGCTAGCGACATTGGCGCTTCTATTCCCGCAAACACATCTGTGCAAAGGGGGCACATCTGCGAAGGCGTGCCAGGCCTCACTGCCCATTTTTCCTTCGCTTTACAGGCGAACAAATTCTCCTTCGCTTGCAACATCCTTTTTTTCTGAAGGGATGTGTTTTTTATGGGGCCCGCACCATGGCCCCTGCGAGGTTCCCGTTTCGGCCAGGCGAGGGATTGAAGTCAGACCAACCGACCCACAAAACTGGAAGTGCACAACCACTTTCGGAAGATTGCCTTCCTTGAGGGGTGCGGTTTGGTGTTTGCTGGTGAGAGGGTACAACAAATGCAGGCAAGCGGCTATTACAAACTGTCCGCTCACCCTTGTTCGGCTCATCGCAGGATGGGCAAGTCCATCCTGCAACTGGCTGCGGCTGGAATGCAACCCATACGTAACCTTTCTTCAAGTTGCAACAATGAGCCTACGAGCACGTCACGCGAAGATAACCCAATTGATGTGAACCCGCCCCATCTTGAAGCGCGTTGGCCAAGCTTCTAGTGGCGCAGTGGCACTACGATCAACTCTGTAGTGTGTATCCGCTGGCCACTGGCCTGTGAGTTGAGAAGCTTTCAACAAATACGGGCACAGGGTCGCACTGCAGCCACCGCCCGTGAGCAATGTAGCAAAATCCCGCAGCACATGCACTAGGATCACACCAGCTCCAGGCGTAGCATACAGACAGCAATGGCCTCACCACTGGAGCAGCGCAGTGGGGGGAAAGTAACCATGAACACCAGGCATTGAGCACCCTTCAAGCCGCGGAACTCTCAGGCGCTGGAGCTGGAGCAGCAGCTGCAGCAGCTGGCGCTGGAGCAGCTGCGGTCACTGGCGTCTGCTTCCCCTGAGGCAAGACGTAAGCTGTTCACAAGCGACAAGCCCAAAGGATTCTTGAAATGCTGAAATTGCACGAAGCTTTTCCACAGAAGGTTCCAAGATTATGGAAACAAGCGTGGCTTCGCTTTCCAGCTCCGCCCTTCATCGGGCTCAAAAAATATTCGGACACCCTCGCCTCGCCAGGCTTCGCAGCTCCGCAATTGTTGCACTGCTCCTTAGCGGCGCATCAAGCTTTGACTAGGTCTGGCTGCCTTAGGTCTGGCTGCCTGCATGCCATGAGCTGCGAAAAAGGTATCTCATACTACCCTCCCACCAATTCACATGGCACCTGACAGGGGGGTCCTGGAAGACCATTTTGCTTTTGAAGGGACCCCCGTCAGGTTCCATGCTAGTTGGTGGGAGGGTAACGGGTAACGTGCCTGATTCCCTAAAGGCCCGTTGCGGCAAAATTAATGTCATGATTTGAGGTCTCTGCATGTTGGAAACAAACAGAAAGAGGGAGCCACAAATCCATGCGAATCCAAATCCATTCCCCTTTTCTTGGGCATCAAGAAACTCTAAGCCCATATTGGCTGGCGGCTTGAAAGTTTCATACCTAAAAGAAGGCGAGGCAAAAAGAGACTAACACGACTGTTGGCGCGACGACCTGGCTCCCTTGGCACCATGTGGCCCGCAAAGGCTTGTTTGGCTCGTCGCACTTGGGACACATCCAGCTGGCCTTGCAAGGCACAAGCTACTGAATACACAATCCTCCCCTGTGGCCAAGCGAACACAAACGGCTTTTGTTGCTTAAGGCCGGTAAGAACATCTTTTGTTTGAATCCAACTGCGCAACAAGCACTCATTTCACTGTCGCATGGGCGGCAAACCGGGCACGAGCTTTGCCATAGCAAATATTGGCAAGTAGTGCGGACAAAGACTGTGGCCAGGCCCAGCTATACCATCACAAGCCATTCTGAATTTCTGCACACTGATTGTCACACTCGAGACCAACACGCCACACGCACACAAGCAACACATGCAGAACCAATGACGCCCCTCAAGCTTCGCAACAAAAATACGCAAGAACAAACAAGCAATTGCCAGCCTGCGCTGGTGTAGAAGCCTGGCCGTTGGCATTTCCGGTTGTTGATTATCCGTGCAAATGGCCACAACCATTCAAACTGTTCCTGCAGCGAACGTAGGTTGCTTTCAGGCGTCTTGCAATCCTCCGGGCACTCCGGCTCTAAGCTCGCTCACGTCCGAAATCCGATTATGATGATGGTGATGGATGCGGCGCACAATACCATGATGAGCCTTGCTGTATCAATGCTTGTGGTTGGGGTCTGTTTTTGTTTTTGGGCTTGTTTCAGGTCTGGTCGATTTGGGAGCTGGTGTGCGCTGGAGACGCTGGTGATGCGTGGTGCAAAGCCACAATGCCCCATCATTGGGAGAAGCTGTCGCGCGACAGCAACTGCTCAAAGCTCGACCGTGCTGCGGAATTGAGCGGCTCTCTGCGTAGTGTGCGCGACGCAAAGCCGCCTTTTGCTGTTCAAGCACGAGCACTAAAGAAGCAAAGAACAGCTGATGCCAGAAACAGCATTCTGCAAAAATATGTTGCCCTGCCCAGGTGGCACATGGCCTCACAAATGCACAAAAGATCTCGTCCCCAAGTCCGCCACGTTTTGCCATCCCTTACACCACCTAAAACTATCCACATATTAGATTGTAAACAAAGGAATGTATTATCTATTAATCACTCAAGGTCTTTCTCGCCCATGATCCATTTACAAGCTGGTCCATCGTCTACTTCTCTCTCCCTCTTTATCACATAGACATACTTTAAATCTTGGAAATTTATCCGTGCTTCAATTGAGAGGATGCTCTTTGCCGTTCGGTCCACGCACAACTTTAGCCAGCCCCACTGCATCTGCCAGCTCCTTGTCATTCCCCTCGCTCGGCGCGGCGCTGTTTGCGCCGGCTGGCTCCTGCCACAGTCGACATGCCCCGCAAAAACCCTGGCAATCCCAGAAGCTAGCGTCAGCTGCTGAATTGCGTCATACGTCAAGTAAATCCAACAAAAGCAGTCTGCCGTGCTTGGTGGCAACCACACACGTCGATTTGGGTTGCCTGGCAAACAAAAGCCAGGGAAAAGGCACACTTGGGCTGATGACCCTTCTTGCGACAAGGCCATGCCCAAGCCCTTGACCTCACAAGGTGTTGCATTGCTCTTTGGCTGCGGCTCCTGCAAATCTTGGTGAATGATGCCAGTCTTTGCGGGGTGCGTGGTCCCCTTTCACAACCGGAATCATGCCAAGGAGGCAAGCATACTGGCCATTCTGCAGACCATTCATTGAGAGTTGACAGCTTCACGTTGCAACAAGCTCTGCATGACGCATCTCTGCATGACTTGTCTGGCACGGCAAATTCAGCAATGCAACTCGCAAAGAGTCATGTGACATGTGCCTTCCAGCCCATGTTAACCACTTCCCAACCGAGCCGTCCCCACCTGCAGTGGCTTCGGAGCCTGGCAGCAACTGGCACACACTGGACGCGACTCAGAATCCTGACTGGCCAACATATCAGCTGTTCATTCAGCTGTGGCCCGCCCAACTTTAGCCAGGCACACTGCATCTGCCAGCCCAGTGCCATTCACCTCGCTCGGAACGGCACTGTTTGCGCCGGCTGGCTCCTGCCGCAGTCAAAGTGTCCCAGCGAAAACCCTGCAGCAATTAGCTAATTAGCATCCAGCAGCCTTCCTACCCCGAAAGGGCGGTAGAAGTTTTGGAAATTTGCCAATCTCATAAGCTAGCGTCAGCTGCCGAATCCAATATTGCGTCATAGCACATCAAACAAATCTGACACCAACTTGCTGGCAACAACACACACGTTGATTTGGGTTGCCTGGCAAACAAAAGCCAGGGAAAAGGCACACTTGGGCTGATGACCCTTCTTGCGACAAGGCCATGCCCAAGCCCTTGACCTCACAAGGTGTTGCATTGCTCTTTGGCTGCGGCTCCTGCAAATCTTGGTGAATGAGCCCAGTCTTTGCGGGGTGCGTGGTCCCCTTTCACAACCGGAATCATGCCAAGGAGGCAAGCATACTGGCCATTTTGCAGACCATTCATTGAGAGTTGACAGCTCCACGTTGCAACAAGCTCTGCATGACGCATCTCTGCATGACTTGTCTGGCACGGCAAATTCAGCAATGCAACTCGCAAAGAGTCATGTGACATGTGCCTTCCAGCCCATGTTAACCACTTCCCAACCGAGCCGTCCCCACCTGCATTGGCTTCGGAGCCTGGCAGCAACTGGCACACACTGGACGCGACTCAGAATCCTGACTGGTCAACATATCAGCTGTTCATTCAGCTGTGGCCCGCCCAACTTTAGCCAGGCACACTGCATCTGCCAGCCCAGTGCCATTCACCTCGCTCGGAACGGCACTGTTTGCGCCAGCTGGCTCCTGCAGCAGTTGAAGTGTCCCAGCGAAAACCCTGCAGCAATTAGCATCCAGCAGCCTTCCTACCAAGGGCGGTAGAAGTTTTGCAAATCTCATAAGCTAGCGTCAGCTGCCGAATCCAATATTGCGTCATAGCACATCAAACAAATCTGACACCAACTTTTTGGCAACCACACACGTTGATTTAGGTTGCCTGGCAAACAAAAGCCAGGGAAAAGGCACACTTGGGCTGATGACCCTTCTTGCGACAAGGCCATGCCCAAGCCCTTGACCTCACAAGGTGTTGCATTGCTCTTTGGCTGCGGCTCCTGCCAATCTTGGTGAATGAGCCCAGTCTTTGCGGGGTGCGTGGTCCCCTTTCACAACCGGAATCATGCCAAGGAGGCAAGCATACTGGCCATTTTGCAGACCATTCATTGAGAGTTGACAGCTCCACGTTGCAACAAGCTCTGCATGACGCATCTCTGCATGACTTGTCTGGAACGGCAAATTCAGCAATGCAACTCGCAAAGAGTCATGTGACATGTGCCTTCCAGCCCATGTTAACCACTTCCCAACCGAGCCGTCCCCACCTGCATTGGCTTCGGAGCCTGGCAGCAACTGGCACACACTGGACGCGACTCAGAATCCTGACTAGTCAACATATCAGCTGTTCATTCAGCTGTGGCCCGCCCAACTTTAGCCAGGCACACTGCATCTGCCAGCCCAGTGCCATTCACCTCGCTCGGAACGGCACTGTTTGCGCCGGCTGGCTCCTGCCGCAGTCGAAGTGGCTAGTGCCAATTTTGCTCTTGCACACCTGTTTTCTTCCTCTCAGGGGACAAGGCAATCCCCCCTGTCTCTACTTAGCAGCGAGTCTCTCTAGACAAGAACTCCGCTGACCAGGACCCAATCAGCAGGGAATCACCGCCCAGGCCCCTCACACCGCCCGAGATGGTACATGCCCTCCTGGGAAGGTGGTGCATCAGCCATGCCAGCCAACTTGAAGCATGCGCCAGGGGCTCATGCAGCGATCAAAAGGCTTTCTTTGGTGGGCTGCAAGTTTGGGCAATGCTCCGTAAATAAGCTGAATATGCAGACCCAAGTAGAATCTGCATCTATATAGAGATACGAAAAGTATATTGTGATGTACTACTTAGTATGTGGCTAGATGTGTGTGTGGAATTCGTCTGGAGCCTGCAAGTGCTTGCATCTGACAGTCCCCAAAGGGCACCATATCTCAGTTAGGCACTGGGAAGCGTGCAGGTCTCTGTCAATGCTTGTAAAAGCTTGTGATGCTTTCAAAGGGCCTTGGCCATAAGCCATTTGAGCCAAAGCACGGCAAGCCTCAAGTGGCACGGTATGGACGACACGATTTGCCCCAGCGCAAAGGTGCAACTCTTTCTTTGAGGGGGACGGTTCTCAAGAGGAAGCAACATTAAAAAAGTAAACCATTTGCAGGAGTTCTAAGTTCCGACACATCTGGCCATTCTCCAAACTCAAGCAAAGCAGCTCAAAGAGGCCTAAGGTGTCCTAAGAATCTTCACCGTCAGAACCTCAGCCATGACTCAGGGTCCTTTCACATTCCTGCCGACTGGTCCAATTGTCCAGGATTGCGTTGAACGAGCTGAAACCCCAGCGCCTTCGCAAGCTGCGAGCCAAGCCGACCTCGGTCAAGGATGCGAGGGAGGGCATCCTGGATACAAAGTCCGTGCTGGGTCATGGCCGTAGCTGTGGTCACAATTAACATGTGCCAGGTTGTAACATCACAACCTGCCACCACAAGTTGATTCTTCGGCATGGTCAGATGCTGTCGCGCACGGCTTTGGTTTCTCAACAGAACGCGCCTTTTCCATGTGGCATCCAGTTGGGCAATGCCTTCCTGTTTGGGCATGGCCTGGCTGCAACAAATGGCTGCCCAGGTGAGCAGGGTGCATCCGGTATTGTCGCTTCACTCTTACCCAGCTTGTCTGCAAACAGATTGCTCCCAACTCGCGCCAGCTCCGGATGCACCGAAATCAGACCTCGGCCATTGCTTTTTCACAGGTTACCCCTTGGTAACCCGTGGAGCCTGGCCGTGGGGCTCAGCGCGGCTTGGCCGCCAGGCAACTCAGGATGAGTTCCTTCTGACCGGAGACAAGCACATCAGCAGCTTGAGACTCTGTGCGCTTTGCGCCCACTAGTCCTTCTGAACACATCTGCGGGATCTCTCTATCTCTCTCTCTCTCTCTCTCTCTCTCTCTTCAGCTCGGTATTCCGTGATTCGGTTGCCCAGGCCGCGGATTCAACCACCGCGAAAGTGTGTGTGTCTTACTGATGCTTGATTTGGAAGGGGGCTTGAGGCTAGGGCTACCTCTGGATTCCGGCATTGGCTCAGTCAGCGCAGAACTGCCTTGATGTCTCGGAGCACTTTGTTGAGCTCGGGGTCCGCGCCATTGCTGATCCGCTCAAACAGCCTCCGCCGAACGGGCAGTGCTAAATCGATCCAGCTGGGGCCTCAGGCAACTCCCTGCCGCGAACCTCATCCACCATCTGAACACCCTTTCGGTGTTAGGAGTCTTCTGTTTCAAGGGTAAGGAAATTGCTTTTCGGGGTTAGGAGGGTATGTGATCTGAACACATCCAAAAAACATTTCCTCGATGCTCAGCCTTTCCAGTGTGAGGAGCCAAAGGAAAGTCAAACCAGTATTCCCCGGCAGGAGAGCAACCTTTTCTTCAAGTCTTCTTTGACCCTTCTGCGACAGGGTATGTTCACGCAGCCGTTCTCGGGGGGGGGGGGTGAACGGTTCAAACAACTGGACGCCGACAATGTCTGGAGGATAACAGCTCGATCAGCTCGCTTGACACCACCATTTACCGCAGTCCAATTTATGTTTCAAGCTTCTGAGATGACCCCACCTAAGCCTGAAACACATGATGTTTCAGTCCGTGATTGGCCCACTTGTGGAGGCTCATTGCCATGCGAATCTTGGCTTCGCCTTTTACATGGGCCTCAGCGGAGAACAACAGCAGCTCTTGCCAGCGCAGTCATACACCGCAAGCTGAAATTTGGCAAAGGACAAAGTTTGCACAACCCTTGTGACTAGTTCGGCTACTTGTAGACTTTTACAACTTCTTACCCGCAGTCGCGTAGGTCCAGCCTGCTGGAAACTGCTCCAACGAAGCTGGCACAAGGATTTGTGACTTCCATCTGGGAAACGAAAAAACGGGGCTCGAACCTTGCCTACCCCTCCATTTCTACTGTTTGGGCGTTCAACTTGTCCCACTTGGAATTTTTAGCGAGAGGTCGGCCACGCAGAGGTCCCTCCACTTGGCAGAGGTCCGGAAGAAAACCTCGTGCCACGCAAGGCCAAGGAGCTGCACAGAGCTGGACAGCTTCGGCGCGTCCATGCTGCCCATGAGCGCCACGGGCGTGCGGCCGGCCTTCAACTGCTCCAGGACGGCTGTCATCATGTCCTGTGCCACGGGCTCAGGGAGTACTTTCTAGGGAAGGTAACACAAGTAATTGTGTTGACAAAAAGGGACACTCGGGTGCCGCCCATGGTGTTTGTAAGATTGTGGGCTTGCACTCACCAGGCCGAGCCTCTCAGAGTTGACAGCTCTGCGTAGAAAAAACTAGAGTCGACGATTGAACTCCTACACTCTGCAACCACTGCCACAGAGTGCTGTTAGCATGAGACATATGACTTTCCTCCCTGACAGGTCAGGAGGCTCTGCAAACGGTCAAAAAGGGCAGGAGCTGAACGAATGTTTCAAGACCAACTTTCGGCTGCAAAAACACTCCGAGCGTCCAAGTAGTTCTGACGGAGGTTGACACCCTCTGCCTCGAACTCAAGGTAGGCCCTTGCCTCAGTGTAGGGGTTCGCCAGTTTTGAAAGAGAAAAGGAAAGCGCCCTCCGGTTCTGCTTGGGCAGCTGTCTGTCAACCAGGAGACCCCATTGTTCTGTCCCGATGATTTGGCAGCGGCTTTGCTTGCCCAGTGCCAAACTTGTGCACGTGCCTGAGAAAAAGATGTGCCCTTTTATCAGGATGCATCAGGTATTCCTGAAATGAAGCGGGGCAAGGAACAACTAAGACTTCATATCTCACAGCGACTTCATGCGACTGCCCCTCGTTTTAGAAATTATCACGTCAAGCTCATCGCCTAGCTGGTCCTGTCGTGCATTGGCCAGCTGGGGTTGGTTGGTCTGGCTTCTAGTGGAACGAACCCCTAGGACTCGCAAGCGCACTTGCGCGAGGCAAGGCAAAGGGAAATCGGCCATCCAGCGAACATCCACGGAGTGCCTTTGTCACAGATCAAACACGGGGAGGGGGGCACGCAACATCCCTCAAGACAAAGAACTGCTGCAATGCTCCTTTCGATGATCCAAACTCCAGGTTGCCTCATCATCAGACAGCGCGAACTTGCGGTTCACTGAGCTGCCCTTCTCCACGCCGTTGACGATGTACGGCGGCGTGGGGATCACAAACCTAGCACACAACAGGGGATACCATTGGCTGCAGACTTGCGTGGAGACCCAAACACGGGAGGTGTACACATGATTGAAGCCCAATTTAATTTGTATGTTGTTGTTTCTTCATTGGTGGGGACAGGCTTCCACACCAGCAGCGATACTTTCAGGCACGAAAACGACAATAGTTTTGGTAGCCGGCATATATGCGCGTTGTTCAAAATTACGGTGCCTGGGCGTGTCCCTTTCGCCGGCCTTTCGCTGTCCTTTCGGCCCGCTTTCCTTTCGCAGGTGCTCAGCAGGCTTTTTCGCGCAATTGCTTTCTGCTCTTGGTCCGTTCGCGAATTCATTTTGCAGCCCTGTCGAGTTCCCATCGCCGGCCTTTCCAACGCTGAAAGGTTTGAGCCAAGGAAAGCAAGCCGGTGGAAAGAAGAGGAGCAATGGAGCATGCGTGCCTATGGGATCCAAAGCTTGAGACTTCTAGCTGGCCAAAGCTTACGCTCCAATTTACCACGCATGTGCACGCAAGGCTGGCAACTTACCACCTAGGCGAGTGGCAACTTACCCTATCTTGGTATCCCCCTTCACCCGCCTATCTTCCCAATTTGGTGCTGATATATAGAGGCCGAGCTTTTGATCATGGCAAGTTCCCTCCCCGGCTTGTCCGAAACAAGAGAGGCGGGGCGCCACATCCAGCAGCTGGTCTTCCGGCCGTTGCGGATCTCCTGCAGCGCCTTCTGAAAGGTTCCCTTCTGAGCCTGGGCTTGAGGCCGGCCGAGGCGAGCAACAGCAAGCTGAATCACAGTGTGGATTCATACTGTGGGTGGACGGAATCCGTTCTGCACCAGCTTGAAACCATGGGAAACCATTGTTCGTTTGTGCATGAAGCATCATCGGAACCAGGTGCAGTGAGCATCTCTGCATTGCTCAGACCCTCTTGCTGCGATGGCAATCCTGCTGTCTCGATCATCTGAAGGCTTTTCAATGCCTTTCCAGAAAGGTCAGCAGGACGCACACGTTCGAGCGGGGGGGGGGGACCTAGTGACGCACTGGAGCAAAGACTCAGACCGAGGAGCTGTGGTAAAGCGCGACAAGCCCGGCTTCTGCGAGCCTGGCTTTGCGGTAGGCTTCATCCGCAGCGCTTCTTGCTGTGATGGGCGCCTGGCCGCCTGCTGGAATCGCTGGGCGGCTGTGGCGCTGTCCTCAGCTGGCACGCGGACCGGCCACTGGCCGAGTGCTCTGAAGCTGTAGGCCAAGGCAAGCCAGAAATGCCAAGCCAGTCTGCAACTTCTATGCTTTGATTGGCAACTTCAAATCCGACATTTCGGCAACTTGGGGCTCTATGTACGGAATTGAGCTTCCAACCTGCCAAAGTCAATCCATTTAATTTAAGGTTTGAGCTTGCAGCTTGCTGCCCTCTCTGGAGGCCTCTGCCCAGCGGCTGGTGAGGATCTCTGTCTGAGAATGGCCGGCTGTCTCTCCACCTCCCGGCTGCGAAGAGCCACGGCCGCTTGGCTGCTGGCCCGGGCTGCGACCACCGGCC